AAATCGAACGACCGAAAAATTAAGGAAAAACCTAACACAAAAATTCTTAAATTAGAAAAAACGAAAAACTCAAAAATCGAGAAATCAAAAATCCGAGAAATCGAAACTGAAACATTTAAACTTAAAAAACCTTGAGTAAATGGAGAAATCGAAAAATTGAAAACTCAAAATATCGAAATTTGGATAAATCGGGCGACCGAAAAATCGAAAAACTGGTTGCCGAAAAATCGACTACTTTATTTAAAAACCGAAAAATTGAAAACTCGCGACATCAAGAATTTTTTAAAACGAAAAATTGAAAACCGGAAAAATCTAAAAGCGAAGGTGAAAAAGCGAGAGATCGGGAAATAGAAACAATAAGGAAGTGAAAAATCTAAAACATATAAAGATCGAGAAGTCGAGAAGTAAAAAATTCGAAAAATTCAGCAATCGAAATAGCCCAAAATCGAAAAAAGGAAAATTTAGAACTTAAAAATTTAAAAAAATAGAAAAAAGGAGGAAATGGAAAATCGAAAAATCGAAATATCTAAAATTTAAAATATCGAATAAATTTGAAAAATCAAAAAAGTAAAAAACAAAAAAACCAAAATATTAAAAAATCGAAAAATCGAGAAAACAAGAAATCAAAAAATCGAAAAATTGTAAAATTGAAAAAATCGAAAAATCGAGGTGTCGCGAAATCGAAAATTCTAAACAAGGGAAAATTGAAATACATATTTATTTAAAAAAAATCGAAACATCAAGAATTTAAAAACTCGAAAAACATCTAGTTATCGAAATATCAAAAGACCGAGAAATCGAGAAGTCGAAAAAAAGTAAAATTGAGAAACATTTAAACTAAAAAAAACAATAAATCGAAGATAAATAAATTGAAAAATCGAAAATTTGAACACGCGAAAAAAGCTGAAACTCAAAACATTTACAAACACAAAAAATACAAAAAAAAAATCGAAAAAATTTGAAAAACTGAAAAAAATCGAAAAATCAAAAAACTGAAAATTCAAAATATTGACAGATCCCAAACCTGAAACATTGAAAATCGGAAATTTAAGAAATCAAAAAATTGAAAAAAAAAATTTTCCAGAAATTCTCGATATTTAGGATCAAAATTCAACATGAGTTCGAATACCACAAGTTTGCCTGTTACTTTTTAACATGATTTATAAAATTGAAAAATGAAAATATTGAACAATTAAAAAAATCGTAAATTCGATAAACTGAAATATATATTAAAAAATTTTAAGTCGAAAAAATGGAGACACTGAAAATGTGTAATTTAACAAAGCGAAAAACAAAAGAAAGCCAAGAAGCTAAAAATCAAGAATTCGAAAAATTTTAAATTTAGAAAATCGAAAAACTGAAAAATCAAGACATTGGAAAATTCCAAAACTGAAGTGTCGAAAAGTTGAAAAATCGAAAAACCGAAAACCGAGGAAACGAGAAATCGAGAAATCGAACTTTAAAAACTAAAACAACGAAAAATCAAAACATCAAAAGTCAATAAATAGAGAAGTCAAGAAGTCGAAAAACTGATAAATCGAATAACCCAAAATCGAGAAATTGGAAAATTAAAAATCGAAATATCGAAATCCGGATAATTCGAAAAATGGAGAAATCGAAATACCTAAAAATTAAAAAATCGAAAAATTAAAAGATCGAAAAATTGAAGAATGGAAAAATTGAAAATCCGAAAAGTCTGAAAGCGAATTTGAAAAAACGAAAAATCAAAAATTGAAAAAACCGATAAATCGATGTTCGAAAAGTGGAGAAACCGAAAGATCGAGCAATCGAAATATCAAAAAATAGGTCAGGTCGGGTCAGGTCTGGTCAAAAAAATTTAAAAAATCAAAAAATCGAAGAACTGAAAAATCCCAGAAATTGAAAGACTCCCAACATTGAAAAAAATTTAAAAAGATAAAAAGAAGTCGAAAAATCGAAGAATTGAGAAATCCAAAAATCCGAAATTAATACTTAAAATTAAAAAAAAAGAGAAATGTAAGAATCGCAAAATTGAGAAGCCAAAAAATCGAAAAACCGAAAAATTGAGAACTCGAGAAATCAAAAGTTTTTAAAAAAGAAAAATCGAAAATCCGAAAAATTCAAAAGCCAGAAATTGAAAAAACAAAAGATCGAGAAATCGAAACAACAAAGAAGTGAAAATTCTAACATATCACAAATCGAAAAACTGTAAAACTAGAAAAAACGAAAAATTCGAAAATCCGAAAAATGAAACATTAAAAACTCAAAAATCGAGAAATCGAAAATACGAGAAATCGAAATTGAAAAATTGTAACATTGAGAAATCGAAATATCTAAAGATCGAGACATCGAGAAGTCGAAAAGTAGAAAAATATAAATAGAAATCGAAACATTTAAAGAAAAAACCCATAAGTAAATGGAAAAATTGAAAACTCCAAAAATGAGGAATTAAAAAAAAAAAATTGAAAACCTGAAAAATCTCAAAGCGAAGTTGAAAAAACGAAAGATCGAGAAATCGAAACACCGAAAACATGGGAAATTTAAAATTTTAAAATTCGAAAAAAATTGAAAAATAGAAAAAACGAAGAACTGGAAAATCGAGAAATTTAAAATATCGAATAATTTTGAAAAATCGAAAAAATAAATAAACAAAAAATCAAAAAATTCAAAAGTCCAAAAACCGAAAATTTGAAAAATCGAGAAATCGAAAAGTCAAAAAATGAGGAGATCAAAAAATTTAAAAATCGACAAGTAATCAAAAAATCAAAAAAATGTAAAATTTAAAAAAATGAAATAATCTTGAAATGTCAATACATAGTAAAAAAAATAAGTCGGGAAATCGAAACATCAAAAATCGTAAAATCGAAAACGCTAAAATTAAAAAATCGAAAAACTAAAAAAAAAAAATAGAAACCAAGAAAATGAAAAATCTAAAATTTAAAAACTCGAAAACTCTAGATATCGAAACATCAAAAGAATAAAAAAACCGTAGTAAAAAATCTAAAATTTAAAAATTCAATCAATTATTGAAAAACTCAACAATCGAAAAATCGGGAAATCAAAATATCTAAAATTTAAAAAATCTAAAAATTAAAAGATCGGAAAATTAACAAATCGAGAAATGAAATCGAAAATTTGTGAAAAATCAAAAAAGTCGAATATTAGGTCGAAAAATTGAAAAAGCCAACCAACCAAAATTGAAACATCGAAAAATTGGGAAATCCAAAAACTGAAAACTGAAAAATCGAAATAGCCCAAAATCAAAAAATTGAAAAATTCGAAACGGAAACTTTTAAACTTTACAAAAACGATAAATGGAAAAAGAAAAAATGAAAACTCAAAATGTCAAAATCATGATAATCCAGAGACCGAAAAATTGAAAATCGAAAAGCCAAAAAACCGAATAATTTAAAAACCAAAAAACTGAAAACTCGAGAAAAAAAATTTAAAAATGAAAAATCGAAAGACGAGAAAATTGATAAACTGAAATATATATTAAAAAAATTAAAATCAGATAATCAAAAAGTCAAGAATAGTAAAATCGAAAAAATTTAGAAATCGAAAAAAATCGAACTAAATCAAGAAACCGAAAAACCAAAATTTCAAAAATCGAAAACTTGAAAAATCGAAAAACTGAAAAATTGAGACAGACAAATTCCAAAACTGAAATGTCGAAAAGTAGAAAAATTGCAATTTTTTAATTTATTTAATTTTTTTAAATAAAATTGGAAAAGGAAAGACATCAAATATCGATAAATTGTAAAATCGAAAAATCTGAAATTAAAAAATCGCAATATTTTGAAAAACCGAAAGAGCAAAAAATCAAAAAATCTAAAAATTGAAAAATCGAAATACATATTGAAAAATTCAAAAATTGAAAAATCCCAAAACTGAAACATCGAAAATCGAAATCGGAAAGTCCAAAAATAAAAAAATCGATTAATTGAGAAAATTGAGAAATCGAAAAACTGAAAATTTAGAAACGCCAAAAATTGTAAAATCTGAAAAATTTGAAGATCGAAAAATTGAAGAATCGGAAACTTGAAAAATCGTAAAATAAAATATTGAAAAATTGAGTAAGCGAAAAACTGAAAAATTGCGACAATGAAAATTTCCAAAAGAAGCAAGAAAACACAAAATCCAGTATCGAAATTGAAGAATTGAAACATCGAGAAATTGAAACATCAGAAAATAGTGAAATAGAAAAGTCGAGAAAAAAGATCGAGAAGTCGAAATATCAAAAATTGAAAAAATGGAAAAATTGAAAGATCGAAAATTTGAAGTGGAAATTGGAAAAATCGAGAAATCAAAAAATCGAAACATTGCAAAATTCAAAAATCTGATATTAAAAATGCGAATTATTTTGAAAAACCGAAAAAGAAAAAAATCAAAAAATCGAATAATCGTAAAAAATAACTGAAAATTTAAAAATGCCACAAATTGAAAACAAGAATCGATATATTCGAAAATCAGAAAATTGAATTAATTGTAAAACCGATATTTAAACAATTTTGTTTTGTTTATAATTTCAAAATTGACTATAAAAATTTATCACTGACTCATAAATTGCAAGTTCAGGACTGTGTTACTTTTTACTATTAATACATTTTTCATGAACGAATAAATTTTAATTTATTAACTACCTTAATTTACCATGCTTCCGGTAACCTTAAAACGTTTGCAAGATTTATTGTATGATATTTTACAATTTCAAAGTAAAATTGTTAAAATGTTACTATAAAATTTAGAGATGACGTCATTCCATTGTTGGTGGTGATAATCAGACAAATGTTGGTTAATGTTTAATCTACATCAAAGTTTGACAACAATCTGTCATTTTGCATATTATCTACATATTTAATAAAAATCGACACAGATGGCGGACAGACAGACAGACGGAAATTCGGAAGTTTTTGTACTTTAGAGGTCACAAAACATCCAGAAAACACGAAAATGTGAGCTTCGCAAAATAAAAATTCCCCCAACTTATTAACAGATATTTATTTCATATAATAAATACGAAATTTTGCATTGCAAAAACCAAGCCACTTGAACAAGTGTAACCAGCAAAAGATTCGAATTCTGTGCCATCAGCTACTTCGTGGTGACATTTTTCTTACAACTATTACTTATATATCATATATAGTCATAACTGTAATCGTCTTCGTACTCTTCCGGAGTGCAGAAAAAGAACTCGATAAGGTTCAAAATGGGTCCTCTCGAAAAGGGGTTGAAATACCGTCCCCTCTTATCCCTCAAATAGGGGTATCGCTTATAATTGAACATCTCGTTCGTCGTCAAGTTCATGCAAGCGTGCAGAATCTGAAAGCAACTGGTCAAAACCACCCTTCCTTCACCCTCCATCGCTCCACTTACCGAAGTGCACGTCAGAATCCACCCCAATCCGGAGAACACGAAGGCCTCGAAAAGTCCCAAAATGTACAAAATCCCGAACCCCTCTATCGCTATACAGTACGTTGCGAAATATATCGTGAAAGAACAGTTTATGGCGACGCTCATCACAAACAAGAAGAACCACGTGCGATTCCTCAACCCTACGCAGTTATAGATGAAGGGACAGTGGTGGTCGAAGTACGATATGCATCGGTTGCACACCCTACAGTGTTTCGCCCTTAAGGGCCGCAAGCACCTGCAGGTGTGGCACAGGCGGTTGAGGACGGCGTAGCGCTTCTTCCACTTGTCGTAGTACGGGATTTGTTTGATAGCGCGATGGTACGATTCGGTGTTAACTGGAATGTAACCCGGGTTCTTCCGGTTGGCGGTGACCCAGCACACCCACATGACGATGTTCCAGTAGATGAAACAGTAGTGGGAGCCGCGGAGGATGTTCCAGGTGATGGGGATGCAGCGGATGACGTACATGGGGTAGCCCCACAGTAACACTGAACACATGAAGAACACAAGAGGGGCTTTGGAGTTCCCGGCTTTCCCGAAGAGGAGTCCCCACACTTCGTTCACGGGCGGGAACCAGCTGGAGCGCCGCTTCTTCTCGGACTCCAGGACCTGGACGATGTCGGTGTGGCGGTGGCTCTGGGCCAGCATTAACGGGGTTTTGTCGTTTTTGTCGAGGGGCTCCAGCTCGATGTTGCTCTGGAATGAATAGTATTGAATGAGTGTATAATTGGTTGCCTACATTTTTAGTAATTTGAGTTGACAATTTTATTATGGAATATACAGGTTTGTCTTAAGGCGACGGTGTTGTTTTTGCCGCTAAAAACTGGAAAATAATAATAATTTAGGTTGAGAAATTTTAGTTTCATATCTGGAATTCTTGGAATCTCTGTAATTCTTAGGATCTCAAAGTTTTCAAGCATCCCTGGATATCATTTTTTTCGAGAATTTCAGGAAACTCAAAAAGCTTTTCATTTTCTGGCATCTGGAGAACATTTGGAGTTTTTAAAATATAACATCACTAAAAACACTGAAATCCCTAGAAGTTTTTTTTTTGTGAAATTTATATTTAGAATTCATGAAATATGTACTATCATATTTAGGATCTTATGGTATCCACTATCTGAAATTTCCGCCGTTTTAGGAATCGTAGATTCAGGATTTTTAGTATTTATAAAATTTGAACCATCTCTGTGACCACAAGAATGTCAAAAGTCTCTACTATTCCTATGACATAATAGTCTCTGAAATCTTTAAGATCTAGAATTTCTAGGTAGAATTCTAAATTGTAAAATTACAATTCCAAAAATTGAACACGTCAAAAATTGCAAAACCGAAAAATTGAATAATTAAATATTTTTTCTTTGTTTTAAATTTTTGATTATACCGCTTGTCAAAATGGAATTCAATTCCCATTTCACAGTAAATACAATAAGTCAGTGAAATAGGCAAAAGAGGTGGGCGGGGCCGAGTTTAGCTTTTTTATTAAGAATCTTATAAGCAAGCACTAGCCCCGCCCACCCACCCTCTTTTTTTCTTACAGTATGTCATTTGCCAAAATTAGTCTTATTTCTACTTCTACTTTTCACAACAAGAAACTTAGAACATGGTCAAAATGGTACATTTTTGCAAGGAAATATGGATTTTGAAATTATGGGGCGGAACCTAATTGCAAAATCGATATTTCCTTACACAAATTTTCCATTTTAAACGTGTTTTAAGTTGCATGTTGCGAAAAGAAGTCTACACATATTAAACCAAAAAGACAAAATGTTTGCCCGCCCACCCACCCTGTCTCAATTGTAATGATTTTTTTTATTCACTGTGAAGCAAGGGGGCTGAGCTTAACTGCAAACTTATTTGATTAAAAAAAATTATAAACATATTTTTGAGTGTCGTGTATCAAAGAATACTAAGTATATTGAGAAAAAGAGACAAAATATAAACCCCGCCCACCCACCCCACCTCAATTGTGATGATTATTAACATTCTTAGAAACTTAAAATACGTTTAAAACGATAAAGTTTTGTATGGAAATATGGATTTTCCAATTAGGCTCCGCCCCTCGGTCTGACAACGAATGAAAACTTCATTACTATTTAGAAGATCAGGGTAGGGCTTAATCTTTGGCTTTAATTTTTTCTTAATATACACAGTATCCTTTGCACTTAAATTCCGCTCCTTTGGCTTTCGACGATCGACAAAAAAAAATCATTACAATTGAGATGGGGCGGGTGGGCGGGGCTTATATTTTGCTTACTCTAAAATATATTTTTTATTTATTGTAGAGATATAAAGATTTTGCAATTAAGCTCCGTTCTCTTGGCTTAGGACGAATAAAAAACATCGTCAGAATCGAGATAGGGCGGGTGGGCGGGGCTTATATTTTAGAAGAAACATAAAACATGTTTAAATTGGTACATTTTTTCAACGAAATATGGATTTTGAAATTATGGGGCGGAGTAATTGCGATTTTTTATTTTTTCAAGAGAATCACCGACGTATTGAAAGAAAAAGGACAAAAAATTGGAGTCGAAATTTGAATTGCAACGATTATGAATATTTTTTATAAACACTCTGATTGATGCTACACAGCGCGTACTTCTTATCTATTTTTCCATAATATATTGTAATATAAATAAAACATTATTGCGATATTTTGTCAGTGAAAAATTCGAGGAAATGGGAATAATGTGGCAACGTCGCACCGAAATTTCAAAAATAACTGCTGAGGGTGTTCTAGTGAATCACCCTGTATGGATCGACAAAATATCATCTTTTAAGTCAAGTAGATAATAAAGAACAAAATACAAAATGATATGATGTAATTAATAACCTTCGAACTTTGAAAGGAAGATTAAAAAGTACCATAAAGCGTCATTTTGGAAATATACAGGGTGACTTACTAAGCGCGACTTCTTTCATATTTCAAAATATACACTGAATATTTCTTTGACCAACATACATGAAATTATTTTCAATTAAGGAAAATGTTTTGTTTTTGAGTCGCAACATACAACTTTATTTTCTTAAATAGGTCACCCTATATATTTTTTCATGCTTTGTTTGGGCTTTTAAGCTTTGCAATAATATCTTATTTATCTTGGATACAGATCTAAAAAAATTGCAAATCTAATTATAGAAACAGAAAAAGTGAAGTAATTTAGCAAAAATTTAGAAAAAAATAAAAAAAGCGTACAAAGAATCACTTTGGTAATATACAGGATGAACCACTGAGGGTGGCACTGGATATAGAAAAAAGTAGGTATAACAAAAGATCTGTATGGTTACTTTTTTAAGTAGAACACCCGATATATTTTTTCAACAATATTTTATTTATATTCTATCATGAAATTACGTCATCTAAAAATGTTTCTAGTAAACTCTTCTGGAATAATAGAAATAATTATTAATGAGATATCAAGAAGAAAAAGTTAAAGACAAAAGTTATAAGGTTGCTCGAGTAGCATACAATAAAATTATTTTCATTATATTGCAATATATTCTTATTCAGTTTTAAATTGTTTCTAAAAATTCTGGATGTCTAGGGTGAAAATTTGACACAGATTCACACATCACAAGTACATAAAAGAGTATCTTATTTTATGAAATTAAAAAAACTTTTAGTTATAAATTTTGGTGGGGATAATTAGTCAAATTTTGGTTAGTATCCACATGATATTTCTAACATATGTACAAAAGTTGACAACAATCGGTCCAGCAGTTTCGGAGATAACATGTCTAATAAAAATGAATACAGAGAGACAGACAGACAGACAGACAGACAGACAGAATGCACCGCACCCACTCTCAATTTTCTTAGAGGGCATAGAATTTGCTAAAATCAGTCTTATCTTAACAAGTACTAGCCCCGCCCACCCGTCCGCTCTTTTCTCGGGGTGTAAGACGTCTGCCAAAATCAGTCTTATCTGAGCAAGTACTAGCCCCGCCCACCCGCCCCTATTTTCTCAGAGTGTATGACGTCTGCCAAAATCAGTCTTATCTGAGCAAGTAGTAGCCCCGCCCACCCGCCCCTGTTTTCTCAGAGGATATGTAATTTGGCAAAATAAGACTTATCTTCGCCACTACTAGCAAGTACTGCCCTCTGAAGAAATAAAGGGTGGGTGGGCGGGTCTACTACTGAAAAGAGACAAAATATAAACCCCGCCCACCCACCCCATATCAATTGTGATGATTATTAAAATTCTTAGAAACTTAAAATACGTTAAAAACGATAAATTTTTGTAAGGAAATATGGAAAATCGAGAAATTGAACTATCTAAAATTTAAAATATCGGATAATTTTGAAAAAGTAAATAAAGAAAAAAATCAAAAAATTAAAAAATCCAAAAGTTCAAAAATCGGAAATTCGAAAAATCGGAAATTCGAAAAGTCAAAAAATGACGAGATCGAAAAATTTAAATATCGACAAGCAATCAAAAAATAAAAAAATTGTAAAATTAAAAAAATCGAAGAATCTTGAATTGTCAATACATACTAAAAAAAATAAGTCGGGAACACGATACATCAAAAATCGTAAAATCGAAAAACTAAAAAAACAAAAAAAAAATAGAAACCAAGAAAATGAAAATTCTAAAATTTAAAAACTCGAAAAACTTCTAGATGTCGAAACATCAGAAGACTGAAAAAACCGATAAATCGAAAATGAATAAATTGAAAAATCGAAAATTTGGACACGCGAAAAATTGAAAATCAAAACATTTAACAACTGAAACATTAAAAACACGAAAAATACAAAATTTTAAAAATCTAAAAGCGAGAAGTCGAAAAAACGAAAGGTCGATAAATCGACACATCCAAGTGAAAAATCTAAAATTTAAAAATCCACTCAATCATTGTAAAACTAGTAAAAACGAAAAACTCAAAAATCGAAAAATCGGGAAATCAAAATATCAAAAATTTAAAGAATCGAAAAATTGAAAGATGGGAAAATTGAAGAATCGAAAAATTAACAAATCGAGAACTCAAAACCGCAAAAATGCGAAAAATCTAAGATCTAAAAAATCGAAAATTTTTGAAAAATCAAAAAAGTAAATTGAAAATGTCAATCAACCAAAATTGAAACGTTGAAAAACTGGGAAATCCAAAAACTGAAAATTGAAAAATCGAAACAGCCCAAAATAAAAAAAATGACAAATTCGAAATTGAAACTTTTAAACTTCACAAAAACGATAAATGGAAAAATAGAAAAATTGAAAACTCAAAATGTCAAAATCAAGATAAATCCAGCGTCCGAAAATTTGAAAATCGAAAAGCTAAAAAACCGAATAATTTAAAAACCGAAAAACTGAAAACTCGAGAAATAAAAAATTTATGAAAAATGAAAAATCGAAAGGCCGAAAAATCTAAAAGCGAGAAGCCGAAAAATTAAAAGATCGAAAACTGAAAAATCCTGCAATTGAAAAATTCCCTAAATTGAAATCTTCAAAAATTGAGAGAAATCAAAAAAACGAAAAAATTGATAAACTGAAATGTATATTAAAAAAACATCATCAGAATCGAGATAGGGCGGGTGGGCGGGGCTTATATTTTAGAAGAAACTTAAAACAAGTTTAAATTTTTTCAAACGAAATATGGATTTTGAAATTTTGGGGTGGAACGTAATTGCAAAATCGATATTTCCTTATACAAATTTTTCATTTTATTTTATCTTGTAAAAAAAAGTCTACACATATTAA